TAACTAGTATGCTTTCCACACTGAAATAGTTTAGTGTTTCTAAAAAATTCTCCTCCATCGAAGATTTAAAAAACTCTTTTTGTTATGTTAAGTTCCATATCTGGAACGATTCTCTTAATACCATTGTAACATCCGCTGGCAGCTCCTCCATACCTTGTGTAAATTTAATTTTTTCCCCTTTCTTAAACTAAGAGTAGTACATGTAGCAATCGCTTCATTTGCAAAATATTTTTTTGTTGTTGCCAATAACTGCTTCAGCATCAGTAAATAGCAAGCTTCATTTTTTACCTGCCTCATAAATAAATTTATTTTGTTTCAAAGTAGAACTTTTGAAGCATCCTCAAATTTAAGAAAAAAAGGAGTTAGTTTTTACTGATTTTTAAGACACAAAAATATGGTTTTTAAACTACTATTTCAACAGCATTTACGTCGCTAAGAAAACTGATGCTAAGTTTGCATAGCTTAATTCCATATGTCTCTTTAGGAACTTTTAACGAGGTGTTAGATATAGAATTGTTGACGGCACGTAAAAATGAATTGCACTGTCAATTAGAGCTATTGCAACCAAATGAAACTGAGTAAAACCAATTGAATTTTATAATTTTTTTAAATAAAGAATTAAAAAAAAAATTATTATCATTAAAGTAAAAACTAACATACAGAATATATGATAATTTTATGAAAATAATATAGATACGTATTAAAGTTTAAATTAAATCCACAAAATAAAAATTTTTTTTTACTTAGTTGTTGAAAAATAAGGCCTATAAAAAAATGATAAAAATATTATCAAAAAAAGAAAAAAGAACATAGAATACACTATTTTTGGAAGTAAAATATTATATTATCTATAATACACAAATATATTTCAACTTTGTTTTTACCCACTAAACCTTCTAATTTTTCTAAATAAAACTAAAAACTTATAAACCTTAAAATAAACTAACTTGCCTAATATATAGAATAACTATATGTGAATTAATGAGTAATTGTGTTTGCGCAAATAAAGAGCAACAAGAATAACAAATTGCTAACTTAAACTATCGACAGAATCTTCTAACTTTTCTAAATCAAATTGAAAAAAGTTATAAAAATTAAAATAAAAACTATCTTACTAAAAATAGAAAAACTTTAGGAATATTAAAATATTACAACAATGTTTGCACACAAAAATACAACAAAAACAAAAAAATATATATGTATATATATATATATATATATATATATATATATATATATATATATATATATATATATATATATATATATATATATATATATATATATATATATATATATGTATATATATATATATGTATATATATATATACACATATATATATATATATATATATATATATATATATATATATATATATATATATATATATATATATATATATATATATATATATATATATATACATATATATATATATATATATATATGCATATTTATGTATATATATATATATATATATATATATATATATATATATATATATATATATATATATATATATATATATATATATATATATATATATATATATATATATATATATATATATATATATATATATATATATATATATATATATATATATATATATATATATATATATATATATATATATATATATATATATATATAAAGGAAAAAGATGCCAAGCAAAACAACAATATTCAAAAAATAAATCAATTTTTTATATTAAAATACTATTAAGAAAGTATTAAATAGTACTAGAGGCCTTTCAGTATTGATCATCAGTAGTACTATTGCAAATGTAATTATCATGATTTTGATTTATGTAAAGAGTTATATAATAGATGTATTTAATAGCAGTTTTTATAACTATGAGTTACCATTGTTATGTTATTACAAAAGAAAGTATTAGTTGAAGGTGTCATGTTTTTGTTAATGCAGATAATTTTCATAGGTCAATAAATTATTTTCATTTTTAATTCGAGAAAAACAAATAGCTGAAAAAATGGCTCCGTAGTTGTTTTGTGTACTTTCTTGCAATCATATACATGATTGTCGAATCTATCTGTTAAATTGCCAGTTTTGAAACTGGATATATGTCCATTTGTGCGGTTTTTTAAATTGTTTGTTTTTCCAGTATAAGTAGTCTAAGTTGTCCAATTTCCAGTATAGATAGTCCATTACATGATAAGCATTTTAGATAATAAATGACATTTTTATTATTACATGTAATGTGACTTTTATTGTTCCAAATTGTGCCATTGGATGTCTCAAATTTATCTATTTCTTGTAAATATAATCGGCAGATTTTACATCGACTGTTTTTGCATTTGAATAATCCCATTTTTTGATATGATGACGTAGAGTGAAATTTTGAGCGCGTAATTTGACTAAGTAAGTTTGGTGGTTGTTTGTATGCTATTACTGGTTGAATATTTGAAAAAACTTTTTTTAATCTTTCATTATCAGATAAACTAAGTAAAAGGTTAACTTCAGTTAAAATTGGTTGACAGTTTAAGTTACTATAGAAGGTAGTCACCAAAGGAAAGACTTTTTTTGATTGTTTAATTAGCGCTGGCCCTTGTAACTATGCATTACGAAATGCTTTTTCTATTACATTATCAGGGTAATGACACTCTTTTAACCATATTTTAAGTTCCGTTAGACGTACTTTTTCTGTAGCATAATCAGACGTAAAAACGATTATTCTTTTAGCTAGGTTATAAGGTATGTTCTTTTTTATGTGATACGGATGATGACTGTTAAAGTTTAAATAGTCATGAGTGTTTGTTTCTTTATAAAAAATATATGTTTTAATGTATTTGTTGTTTTCAAGGAAAACCGAAATGTCTAAAAAATTAACTATGTTATATTCTTTTTTGTTTGCTTCGAATTCGACGGCAAAATCTATTGTAAAATTTATTGAATCATGTAGTTCTGTAAGGGACATTTGGAACTTAGCAATATCTTTATACTTTGGTAATATGGTAAAACTATCATCGACATATCTAAAATAAAACTGTTTAATAATTTTAACTTCTTTTGAAAAATATTTTGTTAAAACTTTCGTAAAAAGCCATGTTTCTTCTAAAAAACCAATTGTAAGACAAGCATAGACTGGTGAAAAATCTGTGCTCATGGCTGTTCCTGTAATCTGTTACGTCTAACGGAACTTAAAAAATGGTTAAAAGAGTGTCATTACCCTGACAATGTAATAGAAAAAGCATTTCATAATGCAAAGTTACAAGGGCCAGCGCTAATTAAACAATCAAAAAAAGTCTTTCCTTTGGTGACTACCTTCTATAGTAACTTAAACTGTCAACCAATTTTAACTGAAGCTAACCTTTTACTTAGTTTATCTGATAATGAAAGATTAAAAAAAGTTTTTTCAAATATTCAACCAGTAATAGCATACAAACAACCACCAAACTTACTTAGACAAATTACGCGCTCAAAATTTCACTCTACGTCATCTGTCAAAAAAATAGGATTATTCAAATGCAAAAACAGTCGATGTAAAATCTGCCGATTATATTTACAAGAAGTAGATAAATTTGAGACATCCAATGGCACAATTTGGAACATTAAAAGTCACATTACATGTAATAGTAAAAATGTTATTTATTATCTAAAATGCTTATCATGTAATGCACCATCTACTTATACTGGAAAAGCAAACAATTTAAGAAACCGCACAAATGGACATATTTCCAGTTGCAAAACTGGCAATTCAACAGATAGGGTAGGTTGGGGCAAGATGACCAGTGGGGCAAGAAGTCTTTTTGCTTTTGTGAGGGTATCATAGAATAGTAATGTTTTCTTCCTCTATTATAATATTAATATAGGTAAAACAATATCACGGAACTAAAAATAGTTTAAATATCGTTATTAGTTAAGGTTTAAATAGATTTTTAATTTTTTTGAGTATTTTGTTAGTAAGTTGCTTCTAACTTCAAATGTTTATCAGACTGGCAATACTTATGCGATGAATGTGAGAAAATAGTTTTTTTCATTCAGAATTTATCCCACAACAATATATAGAAAAAAAAGTTTTTAATTAAGCAACAAAATTAGTTTTATTTGTATTAAACTCACTACATATGAGGCAAGATGTCCTCGTTTACGTGGGGTAAGATGCCCACGGAGGGCTTCTAGGCTTCTAGTAAAATGTTATAATATGTATGCTAAATAAAGTGAAGTGTGAAGTTGTATTACATGCAGTTACTGCAATTCAATCCATACTTGTAAAACATTTATAAATTATTTATAAATGTAAATATAAATGTATTATAAATACATTTTTAAAATTTGCATTGCATTTGGGGAAATAAAGTTGTATTATATTAAATTAATGATCAGCAATTGAATGTGAATAATAATAATAACAATAATAAATTTAAAAAATAATAATACCATTGTTATTAATAATTCTTGGGTAACTTTGTGCAAAAATTGTATGCAAATAACTTAAGTAAGTTTTCATTTAACTTAAAAAGAATTAATTTATGAATGTAAAGTAATGTTTGAAACAATAGTATATTAAATAATTATATAATACTTTGCATGTGTTTATATGTTTATATAATTTAATTTTAAAATTTTTATTTAGAAACATATTTAAACAATTTAAATAATGGTGAGAAATTATGTGTGAAAAACACAGAGAGGTGCAACTAATGATAGGATAAAGTCAGCGTTAGAAGCTATGGAGATGGGCTGCAGTCTGAAAAATTTTGCATCAGAATTTAATATTAACAAAAAAACATTACAACGTCATCGAGATGGAAAAGTAAAGGTAGTTGGTGATTTATCTCTGGGTAGAAAATCTCCTGTATTAAGTAAAGGTTTTGAATTAAACATTGTAACACAAGTTCAGATTATGGAAAGAGCATTATTTGGCTTGAGAACAATAGATATACGTCGCCTAGCATATGATTTTGCTAAACATATGGGAATTGAAAATCCTTTTAATAATGAATAAAAAATTGCAGGAAAAGATTGGCTGCAAGGATTTATGTCTCGCAACCTACAACTTTCTATTCAAACCCCACAAGCCACCAGTGTAAACAGAGCTGTTGGCTTCAATAAACCAAAGTTAAATCAGTTTTTTTCAGTATACAAGTCATTATTTGAGGAACATAAGTTTTCAGCCAAACAGCTCTGGAATATGGATAAAACTGGAATAACAAATGTCCATAAGCCAGGAAAAATAATTGCAACAAAGGGAAAACGACAAGTTTCAAAAATAACTAGTGGAGAAAGAGGTGCTACTGTGACTGTCGTGTGTGCAATGAGTGCAAGTGGTGTTTATGTTCCACCATTATTTATATTCCCCCGTAAGCGAATGACTGATAGGCTGGCTTTTGGTGCACCTTCAGGGTCAATTGTTAGAGTTAGCTCCAGTGGATGGACAGATTCATCTTTATTCATCGAATGGTTAACACATTTTGTTACTGTGACTCATGCATCTAAAAATAATGAGCAATTAATTGTACTCGAAGGTCATCATAGTCACAAAACACTTGAAGCCATTAACTTTTGTCGCAACAATGGGATTCACTTTATAACTCTTCCACCTCATTGTACACACAAATCGCAACCTTTAGACCGTACATTTTTCAAACCATTAAAAGTTGGTTACAATACTGAAGCAAGCAACTGGATGTTATCGCATCAGGGGCGTAGAATTTCATTTTTTGACATGGCAGGTATTTTTACAACTGCTTATAACTTTACTGCAAACATTGACAAACCAATCAATGGATTTAGATGCTCTGGTTTATACCCAATAAATGAGCTTATTTTTAACAATGAAGCCTTTGATTCAGCTTTGCTCATTGATGAAGCTATACCATTGGAAAGCTGTCAGCAATCAAGTGATTTGCCTAGTATACCTCTTGTTGCACCTATACAGTTGCCAGATGTCATAAGCACAGCAACTGTTGCCTCAAAAAATGAAGACTAATACGAAAGAACCAGCACAATCAAATGATGCAGTTTTGCCAGTTGTTGATGAGCATCTTGGTCTTAAATCCGCCCCTGATATTTTGAAAAAGATTTCCCCGCGTCCTAAAATTACTGTATTAAGACAGCGTAAAAGAAAGACAGAATCAGCTGAAAATCTTACTTCTTCGCCTTTCAAGAAGAGATTAGAAGAACATGAAAACAATGTAAAAGAAAAGCAACAAGAAGCAATATTGCGTAAAGAAAAAGCTGCATTCAATAAGGTAATCAAGCAAAAAAAGAAATCAATAAATTTGAGGACAAAAAAAATAAAGAAGTTTAAAAAGCAGAAAGCCTCTCAATGTTTTAATACTGATACTACTTTATGCATCATATGCTCTTGTGCATATAATGTGCCCCCATTTGATGATTAGACACAATGTACTAAATGTACATCTTAATACCACTCTTCGTGTGGTCCAGATGATTCAGACTTATGCTACTACTGTGAATCATAGTCATGTATATACATCGTTATTAGAACATATATTTTAGTTATTTATTGCTAATAATTAAAAAAGAAGTTATTTATCTTCAAGACAATTGTATAGAGAAATTGCATAGTATTTATTTGCAATGCTCAGTGGGCCAGTAGGTGGACAAAACTAAAAAAATTTATGTCTGAAAACTGAAATTCTTTTTAAAAAGTTTTTACTTAGATACATTGAGGACCTTAAAAATAATTACAATAAATTAAAAAAATATATATTCTCAACAAAAACTCATTTCAAGTAAAATTTTTGCAAAAAAAAAAATGGCGATAAAGTGAGAAAATGTAGTTTTTAAAAAAGCAAAAATGTGTAATAAATTTTTAGTATATTGGTCAACTGTTTTTATTAACATATCAAATAATTGTTAATATATAAAATTTATAAAAAAAAAAAGTTAAAAAAAAATTTTAAACCAGTTTTAGATATATTTTTTGGTAAAAATTGGACTTTTTTTTTAATTTTTTTTGAAAAGACAACAAGGAAAAATTTGTGCTCTATTTTGCCTTTATCTCTTATACATATTTTGAAGGCTATATGTATATGTTTTTATAAAATTATTAATTTAGCTGCTAGTATCTGCTACTTTTTTTAATACTTATAATACTTTTTAATACTTATACTTTATAAAATCAAAGATGTTTCTTTTTCAAGTTTCTTTTGTCGCAAAATAACAAGTATTTATATATATATATATATATATATATATATATATATATATATATATATATATATATATATATATATATATATAATATATATATATATATATATATATATATATATATATATATATATATATATATATATATGTTAATACAACTTTTTAATGTTTATATTCTTTTAGTCTAATAATATTATTATTAGTAATATGTCAACCATCACAAGATATCAAATTCATCAATTCATAAGACAGCATGGTTTATCTATGTCTAATGAAAAAGACAAACTTTATGTTTACAATTTTATTCGTGAATACTGTTCTGAATTTGATGCTCAGTTTGTAACCTTTTTGTCCAAGTATCGTAAACGTTGGTCTTTAAGTAAAAGAATTGATGAAAACTTTATGAAACATAATTCAGTATGGCTTCAAAAAGACTTTATTAAGTCATTTAAAAATCAGGATAATAAAACTGAATCTATAGTTAGTCGTCGACCTGTAAAATTATTTGATGATTCATCAAATAAGACAAAGAGTCGTAAAGTAGCAGCTATGGACTTATTAACTTGTTCATCAAATGAACTGTTGTATGCTATTAGTTGTAATCTTTTTAAAGATAGCAGAAGAAAGGATGCAAAAGTAGTTCGAAGTTTATCTATTAAGCAACCTTTTGATACAGAACATACTCCAAACACTCTAAATGAAGCTCTAGCACTCATATTAGATATTGATATGAGCAAATCTGATTACCAACGCTTGAGAAATAATGCTTTGAGCAAAGGTTGTAATCTCTATCCTGCTTACAATGATGTTCGTGCTGCTAAAGAACAGTGTCTTCCTGAAAAAACATTATGGACTGTAAATGATTTTTCAGCAGAAATAAACTTTCAAGCATTAGTCGATCATACAGCAATACGCCTAATACAGTTGCAGAAACAAGTTATTGATTCAATGAATGATCTTGAAAGGTTGACTTTATATTCTAAAGTTGGGTTTGATGGATCAACTAGCCAAAGGATTTATAATCAAGTAACAGTTGAGAAAGAAAACAGAGATCTTTTAGAAGAAGCTAGTTTGTTTATTTCTTGTTTTGTTCCACTTCAGTTGTTTGGATTCATTAATGATAAAAAATAATAATTTGGTCTAATCCACATCCATCTTCAACTTTATATTGCAGACCAATAAGATTTTCATTTAAAAAAGAAACCATTGAAGTTTTGAAACAAGAGAATCAGTTTATTAACAATTCAATTGCAAATTTGTCTTTAACATTTTGTGAAAACTTAACAATACTTCATAAAATTGAAATAACGATGGTGGACGGCAAAGTTGCTACAGCATTATCTACAGCAACTACATCTTCTCAGTGTTGTTCTGTTTGTGGATGCAGCCCAAAAAAAATGAATGATCTTAATGCAGCTAAAAATATGCCATTGACAGAGATAAGTCTCTGCTTCGGTCTTTCAACTCTCCATGCTTGGATTAAAAGCATGGAATGTCTTCTTAAAATTAGTTATAAATTGACAGTGAAAAAGTGGGCAACAAGAACTATATCTGAAAAGAAAATTATTCAAGAACGAAAACAGAAAATCCAGATAAGGTTTCGTTATGAAGTTGGACTGATAATTGATATGCCAACATCTGGTGGCTCTGGGTCTTCAAATAATGGAAACACTGCTAGAAAATTTTTTCAGAATGCAGAGAAGTCTGCTCAAATTCTTGAACTTGATGTCAGTATGATAAAGATGTTGCATGTGATTTTGTGTACATTGTCATCTAACTTTCTAATTGATTCTTCACTATTTAGAGAATACTGCTACAAAACAGCTGAGAAGTATGTAATCCTTTATCCATGGTATCATATGCCACAGAGTCTGCATCACATTCTTATTCATGGTTGGCAAATTGTAGAGAGAATGGCTTTGCCTATTGGCATGCTCAGCGAAGAGGCACAAGAAGCTCAAAATAAAAATTTTAAGAAATTTCGAGAATAATTTTCTAGAAAGTGTTCGCGTTCCAAAACAAACGAAGATTTATTAAGGCGACTAATGTGTTCTTCTGACCCTTTGATAAGTAGTTTGAGAAAACCCCATCATCCTAAGAAAAACGCTCTTCCAAATGGAGTTTTTGATCTTCTTAAAGAGGTTCCAATTTTTGACTAAGTGTCAATGACATAGTTTTGATTTTCGTTGGTGTTTAAGATGGTGTTTACTTTATAAGTATTTAATATTTACATAATAAAATAATGAATATAAAAGTTTGTTTTCTTATATATTCGTTATAAAATTTTTTGTATCTCTAATTGCATAAAAACTTGCTTATTTTTATATGGTTGCTAAGGGTATCTAAACTACACAGTTAAAATTTAATTAACTGTTCCTGTAAACCTTTATAGTTAAGAGTGTTTTAAAAGTTTTTATTTCATTTTTTAAAGAAATTTTGAATTAGGAAAAAGTTTCAAAAAAAATTACCAACTGGTTTCTAAGAGCACATAACAGCATAGTAACACCAAAAATTGATAATATTTTGTTTGTGTTATTCAAATACATAAAATAGCAATGTAGCATTAATATCAGTTTAGTTTATAACTTTGATATTTTGAGAAAGTCTTTTTATTTAGGTAACTATGCAAAATGCCTGTTGACATGAAATATAGGTATCCATGGCAACCAAATAAACAATCTAATGGTGCCATTAGATTTGTTATATGAAATATACTCAAGCTGCTAATTATGGGAAAAACCTGATAAATATTTTAAAAGTTATTAATTTTGTCCAGCTAATAATGATTTTGGCCCACTGTGCAGTGTTAAAATTTCAATTGTTTTAATAAAATGTAAAGAGTAATTAAAAAAAACTAATTAGGGCTTATATTTTTAAGAACTATAAGTTATTATTAACAACTGTTTTAATGGTTTGGGGAATAACGCGTGAAAAGCTTTCTTTCTTTAAATCCATAGAGCATCTTGCGCCACCACTGGGGCAAGAAGTCTTCTGGCACAAGTTTTTTATTTCTTATTTTTAAAGTTTATCAACATTAACAAAGAAGCTATTTTATCTTACCAATGTCTTCTCTTATAAGTAAACTTTAATATTAAAAAGAAAAAATACAAGAAAATGTAAAAGTATTTATTATATACGATAAAGTGTGTTAAGGGGGGCATCTTGCCCCACCCTACCCTAGATTCGACAATCATGTATATGATTGCAAGAAAGTACACAAAACAACTACGGAGCCATTTGTTCAGCTATTTGTTTTTCTCAAATTAAAAAATGAAAATAATTTATTGACTTATGAAAATTATCTGCATAAACAAAAACATGACACCTTCAACTAATACTTTCTTTTGTAATATCATAACAATGGTAACTCATAGTTACAAAAACTGCTATTAAATACTTTTATTATATAACTTTTTACATAAATCAAAACCATGATAATGACATTTCCAATAGTACTACTGATAATCAATACTGAAAGGCCTCTAGTACTATTTATAATTTTCTTAGTAGTATTTTAATATAAAAAAATGATTCATTTTTTGAGTATTGTTGTTTTGCTTGGCTTCTTTTTCCTTTATTTATATCTATATATATATATATATATATATATATATATATATATATATATATATATATATATATATATATATATATATATATATATATATATATATATATATATATATATATATATATATATATATATATATATATATATATATATATATATATATATATATATATATATATATATATATATATATATATATATATATATATATATATATATATATATATATATATATATAT